CTGTTCTGTAAACTTGGACTCTGTCAAAAGACCTCACCCAAGGACCTAGAAGGCTATATGTGGCCTCAAGGTCCCAAGCTCCCCACCCTTGCTACAGGCTTACAACCAAGAATACCTTACCCAGAAAACTAAGCATAATTTTTTTTTTTTAGTGAGGCAATTGGGGTTAAGTGACTTGCCCAGAGTCACACAGCTAGTGAGTTTTTATGTGTCTGAGGCCGGATTTGAATTCAGGTCCTCCTGATTCCAGACCTGGTGCTCTATCCACTGCACCACCTAGCTACCTCTGAGTATAATCTTACAGAAGAAAAAGTGGACTTCCAAGAAGACCTGATGAAATGACCAGAGCTACATAGGAACTTTGAAATTCAAACAAAGGAGTTAAGAGAAGCATGAAAAGATAAACACGAATGAACAATTGTAAGGGACTAAACAAGGATAAACTACTTACATTCTAATATGGAGAAGTAGAAGGGAAGAGAATAAGCATTTATTAAGTGTCTACTATATGCCAGGCATTGTGCTAAGTGCTTTTTATAATTTATCCTGACACTTTATCTTAACAACCCTGCAAAGTAGGTACTATTATCACCCCCATTTTACAGTTGAGAAAACTGAGGCAGACAGCTAGTAAGTGTCTAAGGCCAGATGTGAACTCAGGTCTTCTAATTCAAAGTCCAGAGTTTATCTAGACCAGTCTATCCACTGCACTACCCTATTATCATCAGGCACCATAGAAAAATCTAATTAGAAGGCCAAGAATGGGTTGTCTTATATTTTGATGATCTTAAAAGAAGACCGGAAAGGGAATAGGACTGTACTACAAGGGAAAGGGAGAGGAAGGCTGGGGAAAATTATCTCACAGAATCAGGGTATGCAAGTAGAGGTATATTCAAACAAGGAGGAAGGAGTGGGGAGAGTGGCTGACACTTGAACTTTATTCTCATCTGCACACACACACAAACACACACACACACACACACACAAAGTAATACATTTCTGTACTCAACAGGGAAAAAGGAAGAAAAGGGGAGAGAGAAGAATTAGAGGAAGGGAGATTAAGAGAGGGTTGCCTATCGAAACAAACTCTAACAAAGAATGTACAAAAATATTTACAGCTCTTTTTGAGGTATTAAAGATTGGAAACAGTGAGGTTGCTCATCAACTGGGGAATGACTGAACAAGTTACAATACATAAATGTAATGGAATGCTGTTATGCTGTAAGAAATGATGAGGATGGTTTCAGAGAAACCTGGAGGGCTTGTATGAACTGATCTAGAGTGAGTGAGCAGAACTAAGAGAACAATGGGTCTCTCCTGACTCCAAATCTCAACAGATTCTATCTATCCCAATGTCCTTTGGAATCTGACTCCTGGATTTCAGAAGAACAATGATGAAATTTGCTAACAACCTCTTGATAAAGAGGTAGAGGATTCAGACTGCAAAATGAGACCAAAAAAACCTCTTTTTGGACACAGCCAATGTGGAAATTTGTTTTGCTTGACTCTACAGGTTTGAAACAGAGCTTTTGTTTTTCTTCCTTTCTCAATAGGGGCAGGGTGGAGTGAGAGAGAGAATGCAGATTTTTGCTAATTGACAAAAAATTAATTTAAAAATGATATTAGCTAAAAAAAGATAAAGCAGAGGGTGGAATAAAAAAGGTTACTACATCTTTTGAGAAGGTGACAAGCAGATTACAATACCCACATGACATTAAATTTCATATCAAACTGAAGACTTTTAGCCATATTTATCTTCCTTTACGATTAGGAGGCCTATCATAAACATCACAGACCTTGAGCATTATTTTCAGCATCCCTTCCAAGCTCTGCTGGCAGGATAAGATCCTCAAAAAGGGTCTTAAGCACAGGCTAACCCCAACACAAAAATAACATTACATTATGGGAACAGATGATAAACAGGACGCATGAATAGCTACTGTATAGGGAATGTTATGTGATAACTAAGAGAAGGGAGGGCAAGAGAATTTCTGTTAACATATATACGTAAGTTCATTCCTTGAGCACCTCAAACTAAGAAAGCATATCACCAAAGAGTAGCGATGTCAGTTGGAGGACAATTGAAATCTCTCTACTCTCAGCACGATGCCGCCGCAGCACCTTTCCCCATTTGCCCAGTACAGGGGCAGCTTTTATCTGAGAAAATATTAAAAAGTAAGGGACAGATGTGATTTCACTGCAGGTCATCTGCTAGTGGGTACATACACATTTCTGCTTTACCTGCACCACTGTTCCCATTTGGGTGAGGGATGATGACAAGCAGATGATTACAGAGCTAACTTCAGTCAATCTTTCAGCTTAAAAAAAAAAAGCCTGAGAGAATACTGTTTCACAAGCTACCCAAAGGACTTCTTGGATTGCTGAGACCTCTCTTCCAACCTCACCTAGGCCGAAGCCTGTTAGGTATCCAATAATGCCGACTAGCTCTGCAAGCTGCTGATAGCGTTCCTCTCTGTGGCTGGTTACAATTTTCTTCCTTTTATTACCGTAGCCTTCTGCCAGAGAAGTTCTCTGTTTATTCTGCTTCCTCAATAACCATGATTCCCACAAATATCTCCATCAACGTCCCAAAGAATTTATGGAATAACTTCAAGTCAGTGAGTAAATGGTACCTCTTTATCCGTTATGCCTGAGAATACCATATACAGAGGAAAAGTAGATGACTATCATTTCTTTATATCTTTTAAATATGGAAAGAAGCTGGATTCCTGATGGCCTGATCTCCTTCTAATGACCACCTCTCTAAAACTGATTCCTCGGGCTTCCTTATTTTTGCCAAGAATGCTACTTACTGCCACTTATCCTATCACCTATGCTTGAAATCTCAGTTATCTTTGCTTCATCGGTGACCCGATCCTGTTTAATTTTCCTCTTTGATTTCTCTCAAAACCTTTCCTTCTTTCTATTCACACTGCTAGCCTAGCACATGTTCCTCATTACCACCTGACTGAACCACTTCCACAGCTTGCTAACTGGTCTCCCCACTACTAATCCTTAGCTATCCTGAAGACATCTTTCAATCAGCTAGCCAGCTGACAGAAGAATCTTTCTCAGGCTCACGTCACCCTGCGTAAAGCCTTTCAATAGCTATCTACTGCCTAAGGAAGAATTCCAAACTCTTTCAGGTCACCTGACCCCTCCCCACTTTTTTGGCTTACTTCACATTGCTGGCCTTCTGTCTGCTGGGCTCCTTCAGTCTTGCATAGGATTTTGTAACCTATCTTCATTTCTTAGAATAATCTATGGTTACCAAACCCTTTTTGGTCTAGATTTGCAACTTGTTGACTTACGGAATTATTACTGAGAGGAAACTGTACCTATGAATGCAAATCAGCAACCATCCTATGATTTAAGTCTTAGAGAGTTGCCTGGAGTACTGAAACCCGGGACCTGAACCTAAGGCTTCCTGACTTTGAGACTGGTTTTACATTCACCACACTATGCTATCTCTCATTTGTGTTCAATCTAAATTTAGGTTTTGTGTCCTTCTCACACCTTGAAAGCTTTAAAAGGCAAGGTTCATGTCTTAATTTTATCTCTACCTTTCCCAGCAGCTAGCAAAGTACTTGGCACATAGTAGACACTTAGTTGTTTACTCCTCTAACCACAAAGTCATACTGTAAGGATTAAAGCGGACCTGGGCCAGAAGAGAGCAAGTAACTCCCTTTAAACCAAACTCAATCCTGTCGAAATCTAAGCATTCTATAAAAACAAAGACCATTCAACCAGACAACTTTGTTTTTCAATGTAAGGAGAAGTAGCAGCCCCGTTATTAGGGATTATTAAAACCCAAAGCACATAAATTCCACAGAAGTAAATGCTATAAATGTCAAAAAAAAAAAGCAAACAACATTGTTCTGGTTCTACTTATTTTAGGCTGCTCAAAAATAACCCATCTTTTTTTACAAGGACTTAGTTGGGATGTCATACTTCTTGCCCTCCATTTTTTTTGTCCTTTGGAATATATTCAAGTAAGTAGTTACTGCTAGGGAACCTCAGTACATGACCACAACAAAAAATAGCAAATAGTTGCAAATCACACTCACATTCCTATTTTCTAGCTTTTAAAATATTACCTTGTAACAAGAATCAATGGCCCAGATCTAGGCACTGACAAATATTTGGGAAGTAAAGGCAAATAATCCTATTCTTGGCTTGGACTATCTGAAGCACCCAATTCTAACTCATTGCAGACCCTACAGAAAATAGTGGAAAGGGATGGGTTATTTTCAAAGGAGCTAACCTAAAAGCAGCACATTTGGAGTCCTAATTGTAATCTGGTGTTAAGATGACTGCATGGTAGGGAGAGTTACAGAGGGGCCAGTTTGGATGGGAAAAGACACCTTTGGAATGACAAAGACCAATATGGACTGCGTATAACTCCCAAAACTTAGGCTCCCCTAGCAAAAGAGGCAATGTGTCAAGGAATGAGACAGGCAGCAGCTTACTCAGTCATTAAACTTTATCTATCTATCTATCTATCTATCTATCTATCTATCTATCTATCTATCTATCTATCTACCCAAACTGCATCATGTCCTAAGTAGCTTGAGAAGAGATGAACAACTTGATTAATTCTACAAAAAAAATTCCTTCTTAGCTTTACTTATAATGAAATAGAGAAAAATCTATCATCAAGGGGTTCATTAATGTATGAAAGTTAACCTATTCACAGCAAATACAGATAAATGACAAATCAGTAAATTAAACCCTCATTTGCTAGTATAATACAGGAATTTCTTTGTTGTAAAAGATTATCGGAATAATTGTAACAATTATTATTATGATTACTTATACTACTAAACTCTCAAGACACTCAGTCACATAACAACAGAACTGACTACAGAAATTTCTTTTTTGAGTACCTGGGTACTACTTCAAAACTACTTTTAAAAAAAGGTTAGTTAGGAAGAGTTAAAGCAATAATTTTACATATTTGAAAAAAAAGAAAAAAAGCAAAATGTAGATGCACCACTTACCTATCAGACCCTTCTCAAGAGTAAAGGTTTTGTTTGTAAACATACATTCAAAAGCCACAAGGTGGAAAACTTTGTTCACTGTGTTGTGTGTCCCAACTATTCGAACATACCTGAAGGAAAAGCAAGAAAAAGAAATGTGTTTACAACAGTGAGTTATCACCACCAATCTAAAGATAACTGAATAAGATATACTTGGTAAACATATCATAGCAAACAATTATGTACAAGGGAAAAAGAGTAAAGGAGACCATGTACTTGATTTCAGACCTCATACTTGCTTTCAAAGGGCTTGGCTCCAAGTGAACCAAAAAGAATTACAGCAAATTAAAGAAATGCCACTTTCCTGACAATTACGTAGAACTTGAATTTGATATATCTAGAAAACCAAAAGTTCCTGTCTAGTTCAACCTTGGAATGTCAGGTAAAATTACATGTCTAGAAGACATTTGCAGTTGAAAATTATAAATAATTTCTTAACTCCACTTGTGGTAAGAATGCCTCCAATTCTCCAACAAACACAGACATAAACATACCTTTCCCCACCCCTCCATCAACCAAGTCATGTATTTTCAAACAAAATGAAGTATCCTACTAACTGAAGATAAACAATAAATCAATGGTGTTTTCTTATTTAAAAGAAAAGCAAAATTAAACCTAAAAGCCTCAAACTAACCACATATTTCCTTGTCTTAATTTTGTTTTTAAATCTTTATTGGTAAATTAACTCCTTATACTCACATCAAACACCAACTTCATTCCTGCTGAAACCCTTTCCTGACTACAAGAAATGGTTATCAAATCTAGTCTAGGCTTTGCAATATCCATCCTTTTCTTTGGACTTCCCTCTCTGCTGCACAGAACGGGCATCTGCAGAGTCTCATTGAACAGCTCTTGAACATAGTAGCCTCTTCACCCTTTGTATTACCCTGGAGGCTTCACCTTTGACAAACAAGCATTAACCTTAGATCAGCCTGTTTCCTTCACTTTCCAAAGGGACAAGATGGTTCACAGGTTAACGAACAGACAAATTCACTCTTATGAGTGCTACACAATCCCACATGGAGTACAAGACACAAGTCTTTTTAAATTTTTTTTTAAATTGAGGGAAAATAACTTGATTAACTGATAATTCTCTCTCAAATTATCTAGTATCCACAACGAAGGAAGGTGCATTATAAAGGAACAGATTTCAATGAAGAGATGGAAGAATGGATATTTTTTTTTGTAAAATCCTCTGCTGTATAAAAACAAGGTTCCATTTAGCTGAAAATTTTATTTCCAAGTTAATACTGTTCACTAAGTCAGTGATTTTCTCATTTTTCATTATTCCAAGTTAACTTTATAATATAAATGCTGGTTTTTTTTAAAGCTCTAAGTAGACTTATTCTGGATTTTATACTATGGGCTATTTCATTTCCTCTTTCCTCCACCCCACCTCCCCCTTCTAGCTTGAATCTTGGGGCATTCCCTGTGCACTTCATTTAGCCATCTGCTTCTCAACATGAGTTGATCACTCATCATCAAAACCAATATAAATGTTATTTCTTAGACATACAGCTTTGAGGAAAAATGCACACAGCAGGGAGACACCACTCTTTCCAAAGACAGTCAAAAGCAGCTGCTGGATCTCGCTGTCTGACCAGACCCCTATGGCTAAAGAGGAGGTCAGCCTTAATCAGCGCTGTTGCCTTCAAGGAGGAGACAAAGCAGCTATGCTGATTTAACTGGGTCTGGGGGGTTTTATTTTGCTGAGTTTTGAAAGGTCTAAGCAGTACAGGATTTCAACCATCACTGGCTGCAACAACCCTGTTGGCAGCTTTCTGGAAGGGAAGGGGTGTTAAACTTGGCACCTTGGTCAGAATCTAATTTTGTAAATTTCCCTCAACCCACAGCAACTCGACCATCATCAAATTTTCAACTGTATCTAGCAGGGACAAAGTGTGGAAGTGCCGCTCTCAGCAACCCATACATAGTCAGGGGAGAGGTTTGGTGGAATTAGATCAGAGCACTTTCCCAGCAATGCTGGATGAACCAAGTAGAGACTCTTCATATAAAGCTATTTGGGGGCTGGTGCCCCACATGGAAATTTTCTGGGTTTTAGGTCTCTACCACAGAAAAAAGATTGCTATGTCTAAGGTCTACATGACCTTACAGGATCTAGAAGTTCCCTCTCAGTTTCTTATTAAAATATTCCTGTGCTGACATCCAGATCTCTCCCCAGTGCTCCTCTGCCTTTTTTTCACACAATACTGAACCAGCCTTTCCATGTTGAAAAGATAGGTCAATTTTTTCCTTGACAATAACCAGCTAACCTGGGAATGGAAAATATCAGTTAAAAAGGAAAATGTTTGCCAAAATGACTTACTTTACAACCCTAAAGCTGATTATGGCAAACACAATAACAGATATATGTAGTTGGTAAAGCACTCTGGGACATCATTAGATTTTTTAAAGTGCTATATAAAGTAGAATATGTCATCTCTAATGCATAATCCTGAGGTCAAATTAGCAATTTACTACTGTAGATCACACTTCTTGATTAGCCTGTTAAATATAACACCCTTAACAAGTTTAATTACTCCAGTTCTGTAATAATCTCTATGTCCCTATAAGCTTGCTGTATAGTTTACAAAAATATCATGGAAAGATTGACTAAGGCTGTGCCTTCCCCCCACCTTTTTTCCTCCCTACCCCTCCCAGATTGTCGGGACCGTTTTCTCTACTAAAATTCAAACTATAATACTCCCTGATGGAGTCAAATCAGAGATTGTCTGGTTTGGAATACTCCCAATATATAATGTGGTAGCTCAAAGATGTAAGTTATTAAAGGTTTTGCGGCATTTATTTCTTTCTCTTGCCTTGAAAAAAATCATTCTGGGTCTGGGTACAACCTAAACAATGAAAGCAGATAACACACATTTCCTTTCATATATGTATTTCTGAATAAAAGCTAAAGCTTAAGATTTTATTTTCCTTTCCTTTTTTATTTTCAACATCAGTTCTCAAATGTATAGCTAGCCTCAGATTTAAACTGATAATAGGAGCATTGCTGGCAGTTGGCTTTATCAAGACTGTAGAGGGACACTGCTGGAAAAATATAACAGACATTCTTTGTTCTCTCTAAGGCCCTCTACACCAGCTCAGCCAGTTGGAAGATAATTAAAACTTAAACAGTGCTGAGGAAGGCAGATATGCAACAGATTGGCCATTTCTGATGAGGATGGATGCTGCAGGCAGGAAGCCCTGTGCAACAGTCTGTTTTCAACCCTGCCTTTGCTTTCCCTTTTGACAACTCTAGGCCATTTTCTGTTCTCCCATGAAAGCTGAATTTCAAATACAGTATGAGAAGGGGTTGTTTAATTACGGAAGTTCCTAGGAACCTTTCCTTTATGAGAGGTTGGAACCCTTGGCAACACACAGGAAGGGAGTTGGTTTTACTGAGACTGAAAGCTGTTCTTCAGTCTAAAGAAACAGAAAACACTACCCTCAATTTATTATTTTTTTTCTTTTGCTTGTTACATGAGAATGATAATAGTCAGTCAGTAAGCATCTATTAAGTGCTTACCAGGTGCCAAGTATTTTACTAAGTGCTACAGATACAAATACAAGTAGAAAGAAAGGCAGTCCCTGCCCTCAAGGAGCTTACATTCTAAGCAGTGCCATCATTTCATTCCGTGTTATTTGGTTTACCCTTGGAAGGCAGAAGTTCCTAACCCATGTCTCCATCTTCTCTAGCATTTAGGAAGCTTTCATCCTCAAGAAATAATATGACATACGTTTAATGTAAAGAATCCTGGGGGGAGAGGGGGAGAAGAGAAATGGTTGAAGAAAGGTAGTAATACACCTGCAGAACTTAATGCCTCAGTAGTCTCCAGTTTGTAGACTTTACAGTCAACAAATATATAGGTAATTAAAGTCCTTTTATTCCCTACTCTAAGTCAAGTGACTACCTATTAGAATCTCTTCAGTAGAAATATTAATACAAAACAAAATTTAACTCAGTGAGGTCTATTTTAAATGAGTGTGAATAAGAACAACCAAAGTCAAAATCAGAAATAGTTTAAGATTGGCCACCAGGATAAGATTTTATCAAGTAACTGTATCCAGATAATGAGCCCAGAAGGGAAACCAGGTCTTTGCTATGGTCAAAATGAGGTACTTAAGATACATCCGATACAGAATATTCTTGGAAAATAGGTGGTACGCTATATACCTGGGGTATGGATCTGTAAGTGCCAATATTTGTTACTTGCCCACCGCTCACCATCAGTTAAGACTGTACATTAATACTCAATGGTAAGCAAAGTCTCTTTCCCAAGAGTCATATGCTGTGCTCCTCCAGGTCTTTTCCTATGGTCTAGGGTTCGTTATTGTTATTATCAAACCCAAAGTATGGAAATGGGAATAACTATTGGTCTTGTTGTTAGGGCAGCAAGTAGAAAATCATTTATTGAAACAATGACAAAGGAGTTGTAAGCTATAGGAAAAGCATGATAAAACAGAAAATATTTGTTATTTTCTAAGGAAATCTTTTCCAGCAGTGACTTGTTCTCTAGTAACAGCTACAAAGTGCCTCTGAAGTATTTGGTTTTTTCATAAAAGGAATTGAGAGAATCAAAATATTGTTCCAAAGTCAGCCCAAAGTGGTTACTGGCTTAAATGATGGCCTAAATGCTAAATGAATACTGGCTTTGAGAACTGTTTTAACATGTTCAAGTATACTTTTACTACCAAATTGAAAGGCAACTGAAATGACAAAGATTCTTGTTTTCCAGAAGCAAACAGTTTCTTGTGTAACAAGGATAAGATGGCTAATTTAAATCACTACATGACTCAACTCTATCTGCTATTTTGCTATAAAAAATAATTTGTACTTTTAACTGTCAGAAGTTCAATGCCTTCTCTCTTCTGAAAAAAAAGCATTAATAATTAAAAGACATGAGGCTTCTGAGTCGTTTTTTGGCTTCTTTCATTTCTCAAATCTAAACATATTTCTACATCATACTTTTTGCTATCTTTCACGAGCAACAGAGACATCACCCCAAGTCTAAGACGATTTCATTTGGAAGATATTGTCAAGTTCTTTGAAGGATTTCTCTGAGTGTTCATC